ATTTAAATGTAATTGGTTATAATGTCTTAGGAAATATTTTGCTACATATAATTATCAATAAAAAATATTTTGGAATAATTTTTATAAAATGTTTTATTTTGTTAATACATTCCTTCTAGTTCTAGCAGACTTTTCCATTTTCTAACATTTTTTTCCAGTGTATTAATACTTAATGTTGACTCTTTTTCAGCAACAATGTCTGCCATGATGTCTCACCAACCCACTAAAGAAGAAGAAGAGGAGGATGATGAGGAGCAGGGCGAAGAGTTTGTGTTTGAGGACAGCGAGGATGAGCAGAAAGCTCTGGAGGACCGTAACGACATCACCTCGGACTGTGTCGAGCTCTCCCAGACGTCAAAAAACGAGTCCAGCGAGACGCCGGGCGSTGTTTTACAAAGAGCCGCAGACAGCTCACAGCTTATTAAATCTCCACCTCCTGCTGGACCAGAGAGCACTGCAGCTTCAAATCCCTCCACAGGTAACTCATTTTTAGGAATAATGTATTATTTAGGCCGAGGCTGAATGAGTCTTGGCTGCTCAGTGGTGGAGCTGACAAATTGTGTGTCTGCTGGCAGCAGCGGATGTTTTTCTGAGATCTTTGAAAATAAGGTTCAACTCAGAACTTTCCCAAGTAAAAAACTACCTGATTCCTGGATGTGTACATACAGTATTAGTAAAAAAAATATTTTGAAATTTCTGTGTTTATTCTGATGGTTTTGATTTAAAGTGTCCGTATGCAAACAAGTCCATGGGAAAATTTGTGAAGTTCATCGCAGAACCTGTAGAGGTTACAAAGGCATAATATGTACTTGTATGGCAAGCCAGTTTATCATATATAATCAGGCGCTTTTAAATGTCTATTATATCTTGTTAAAATMAACACTTTGACTTTAACGAATGTCATTTGTCCTATTCACAGTCAACATTTTAGATGACAATATAATAAATTTTCATTGTTTTTCCTTCATTGGTCTATGTACATGTTTGTAAAACTTATATCCTCTCCTTACCAGTGGCAGCTTAAATAAAAATTTATGCTATTATTTGTGTTATTTTAGATGTCTTTAATTTGAGTTCTGGCTATCAAGAATGTCATTAGAATTAATGATGTTATTATTGGTGTCTGAAAACTCATCTTAGGTTTGAGTGTAATTTGAAAATATGTTACAATGACCAGCCATATGCTCATGTTATCTTAGAGGCAGAACCAGTTGTGATCTGCCAACAGCAAAAAAAAAAAAAAAAAAAAGTAATCTTGATCAAATTGTGTTGTGTTGGTAAATATCGGATTATATTCCTTCAGCAGGTCAACAATTTAAAGACTTGAACATCAAAAATTGAAATAAAACCACATATAATGTTTCTTGTTTTAAAGCTTAGAGTTTTAGGCGGCGCGGTGYCTCAGTGGGTAGAGCTGATGCCTCTCAGCAAGAAGGTTGCCGGTTCAGATCCCGGTCTACTGTGCCGTTGTTAACACCATATATTGTGACCATCATATATTGTGACCAGGGTGTACCCCGCCCCTCACACTGTGACTGCTGGATATGACAATGACCCTAGAAAATGAATAAATGGGTATAGATAATGAATGGATGTTTTAGAGCTTAAATTCAGAACTGGAAATCAGACAAGGTCTGACTGTGGTTGAGAGGTCCCTGAGCTTTAACTTATTAAAAACTCTTAAGGATGTTGAAATAAAGTCACACARGGACCCAAGTCTCACATGGTTTGTGACTAGTGAACTTTACCAAGTTATCAAAGCCGTTACACTAATTACATTTGATTACACTAACAAACTGTAACAGAGCTTCAGTAGGTAATCTGAAGGAAATCAGTATACTGGTGGACTTTCAACTAGCTATTCAAGTTGCAACAAAATTGCAGTAAAGTAACATTTTTATTAYGTGAGACAGAAGAAACACCTGAGTTACTAAGTAGTTGTCATTTATCTTGTGAAACATTACAATAGCAAAGTCCATTTACAACTTTTAATGCAGATACCCAGTATCATTATGTTCACATTTTCATAWAATAAGTTGAGACCAGTTCAATAACCCTGTGGGCCTCTAATACTGACATCATTGTTGGATTAAAAAAATTGGGCAGAAGTCACTTATTGTGTGTGTCCATGTTGCTGTGTTGCWGCAGTGCATTACAGCCAGCTATACTCTGTACTCTTATAAATAGATGGATTTCTTCATGAAATGTTTTTGAAGTTAACTTTAGACATGTAGGCGGAGCTTGTCACTTGAGCCCGTAAAGACAAAGACAGCTCAGAGCGTCTGCTGCAGAGTGAGGGTCTGCWTATTTACAATGTCCTCCTGTGGAGGGATTTCAGTGTTAACAGAGAAAAGCAGGGAACAGAGTCTGTGACGGATTGTTGCAGTGTTAACAGCTGAGGAGAAAACTCCGCGGAGCTGACAGGTGACTTGTGAAGGATTACTAAAGACAGGAAAAAGAAGGTTTGGCAGACTGCAAACAAGTCACTGGGCTGAACTTCTATCATCAAACATGTTGCGTTTAAATTCACTGTCCTGTTGGAAAATTTCATTGCAAGGTAYGTTGGATTTACCATCGTATAAATGTGCACAGGGACTGCTGTCAGTGATGCTAACTGTGCTAACCACCATTAAACGCCTTAACAGTCAGCCCTGAAATTCCTTAAAAGCCTTTCAACAGTTTTKATTTTTTAAGGGTGTCAAACTAAAGGTAAGAACAGGAGGAAGTTGTCACGCTAGTTTTCAAAATAAAAGCCCCCGGATGCTGATCTACTGTGCCGTTGTTACACCATATACTGTGACCATCATATATTGTGACCAGAAGGGGCGCTGTTGCGGTTCTACAACAGAATCTGGCCGAACATGGTCACAAAGAAGAATATGCCAAAAGTGTAGCCTTTGATCAGAGGCCGAAGACACACGCAAAAATTAAAAAGAAATAAAATAAAAATAAAACGTTGACTGATACACATGGTCACAGAATGTGACAGCTGCTATCATATATTGTGACTTCACTGTAGCTTGGTAAATAGTAACAATATTTATAAAAAAAACTGCATGTGCTGATTGTTGATTTTTAATTGTTTTTGTTGATGTAAACAGTAGTAYAGTACAAACAGTTTTTGAACAAATATTTCTACTATTCACCAAGCTATAGTGAAGTCACAATATATGATAACAGCTGTCGTATTCTGTGACCATAGTAATTTAATAAAACTCAATATTTCAGTGGTAAACAGTTATTTTTCTGATATTAGAGAATGTAAACTATCAGCAAAAACAGTTTTAAATAAATATTGTTACTACTTACCAAGCTACAGTGAAGTCACAATATATGACAACAGCTGTCATATTCTGTGACCATGTTTATCAGTCAATATAGCTCTATTTTTATTTTATTTATTTTTATTTTTTGCGCACGTGTCTTCAGCCTCTGATCAAAGGCTACACTTTTGGTGTAACGTATTCTTCTTTGTGACCATGTTCGGCCAAGTTCTGTTGTAGAAGCGCAACAGCGCCCCTTCTGGTCACAATATATGACGGTCACGAAATATGGTGTAACACCGTCTAGAATTTCAGTGTATGTCAACCCTACACTTTTAAGCCCAGTAATAAATTGGGACTTTTGTAATAATCTACGATGACAAAATGCCTATATATTATGTATAAACTGGCAGCACTAATAATAAGACAGGCATTCAGAAATGTGGTGCAGAATTTAGGCTCAACAAACAGTCACTCTGCCTGTTTAAGGTTGTACTACAGATATTTATTGTTTGTCCTAATGGTGATGATTAGAGGACCTAGTTTTTCTGAGGTGGTACTCATTATGAACCACTATTCTATATTTAGATTATAGTTAAACAGGCCAGAAAACTGGGTGTTTTTCGAAAGAAATCAGATTTTGGCACAGTGCTAATGTGCTAATGACTATCTCACATGAGGATTCTGCAGAGCTATCTGTGTCACGTCTTAAACTTTAACTGTTAATCTTACACAAATGCTATCAATTAGTGTTAAAAAAATAGAAAGCATGTGCACGTAATTGAGCTAATGCTGTGCATCAGGTCAAGTTACCGTTCCAGTAAATAAATCTGTTGTTCTCCTTTTCCAAAACAATAACTTTTGTGTAACGGAAGAAATAAAAACAATATGTTTCTTCTTYGTATTTAGCAACTTTCTTGGCACTCGTAAAAAGCCATTTTTCTTGTGTTTGTGTTGTGTGCATGAGCAATAAGCGAGAGAAATGTGACTTCATGTAGGTGGAAAACAACAATCGTTTGAATGTGAAAGTAAATAATTAGTAACTTGTTGAGCTGCATATAAATAAGTATCATTTGCTGCCCTTTATCWCTGACACAAACAAACTAATGCTGCTTAATTATGAGTGTTATGAATATATTTTTTAACCACAATAACAACGGGCTTTTTAAAAAAATATATAAACATCTTCCATTTGTGGGCTGGAGCCCGTCTACAGGGGTCATTGTGCAAAAGGTGGTGGTGCACCCTGGACAGGTCTCCAGTCCTTCYTAGGGAACATGGAGATAAATGAGACAAACGTGTCACGCTGTCATTCTAGTGGCAMTTTAGAGTTGTCAGTTTTCCTAACATGCATATTTTTGGTTWGAAGAAAACCCACACATGTAGAGGGAGAACAGCCAAACCTCACACAGAAAGGCTTCAGGTGATAGGCAAACCTACGACTTTACTGATGTGATGCAACAGCTCTAAGCCCCGCCCCCTTTTTGCAGAAACGCCAGTTAAGCCCAAGGAGTTTATATAGAACAGCTGGACTGGGCAGAAACCAGGTGACCATGTGATCGGCTGGTGAAGCTAACAGCTAACGCTAAACGGTCAAGACTCTGGATTTCCCATCACTGTACATGTTGACAACAGAGCAGAAAAAAGGACTGACGATGTAGAAATCATAAAAACTATTAATAATAATATTAA